CCGCTCTTCCTTGGGACCCCATGGGGAAACACTGGGGACCTACTTCTAAGCAAACGGGTCTACACGTCTCTCTGCCCCCCCCTTTAACCTTTAGCTTCAAAGCCAGAGCAAAGCGAGGCTAAATCCGTATTTACATAGGATAGCTTTCGTGCGTCCCTCCCGGCGTGACGCTGCGCGCTGACGTCACGGGGCGGGGCTTTAATGGTGGTGTGCCGCGAGATTTTTTTTCAGTAAACAGGTGTGCCGTTGCCCAAAAAAGTTTGGGAAACACTGATTTAGATGATGCTTTGCTGAAGTATGTTTCTTGCTGCAACAAAAGAGCTAAAGACACTAACTGCATTCCCCCGCTGAAATCAAATCTCCACAACAAGACTTAGCACAAAGAGCTACAAGTCATGGCACAGTAGCCGATTGCTGGCTCACTTAATTGGCAAGGACAGTGGCGCTCTTTGTGCGTCAATGGGCACGAACAACATTGATCACAAGAGGTCTTATGTTTGGGAGAAAATTTGTCCATTTAATTCAGTTTGCCCGATGACATGCTGGCCTTTGCTCTGTGGCAGTTTTGACTTAAAGCAGTTTCGACTAAGGCTGTCATCACAAAAGATTCCATTGTGGCCGGAGTCAGATGTTCCTGAGTTATGTTCTCACCCAGCAAGTGATAGCAGCACGTCGGTTTTACAAGCAGCTGAGAAAGTGGAGCACTTTTCAGCTTAGCATCCTACTCCTAAACATGATTACTGACAATTAAGGTCCTAAGTAGCCATTGCTCTCATCATGTAATTAAAATCAGGAGGGATGTGTTCACTAGCTGCACCCTCTCCATTAAATCCCTGTTGCCCAGCCCTGCTGCCTGCCACACTCATAGAGGACCCTGAACATGCTAGGCTCTAAATAAGCACAGGGAGCCCCCACGATGACTCCCCACTGCAAATATTTGCCCTCCAATGTGTGGAGGGCAGTGGGACCAAGTGAGGAGATTTGATGGAGGAGATGGAAGTAAAGTGCCTCCCCACCCCCATCATCTTGTGAACAGGGTCAGGTGTCAGTGACTTCAGATAACCAGGCTTAGGACAACAGCTATGGTGTTGCCCTTTTTTGAAGGGGAAAAAATGTTTTAACACAGTAAATCCAGCTTCGTTTGTCATGGGTTGGAGTTGCATTTACTCAGTGATTCAATAGCCTGTTTGCACTGGATGTCTCTCTGAAGTCTGAATATATAAATCCAGAACACCTGGGATATCTATCTGTCCTCTTATTCCATGGACTCTGAACAAGGAATTAGTACCTCAAGAAGTCCAGAAAACCTATTGTGCTGCCATGCAGTGGAGCTGTCCAAAAAAGCTGCAGTGTAGTAGGACGTGAGAGCCAGTGTGCTGTAGCGGTTAAGAGTGGTAGTCTCGTAATCTGGTGAACTGGGTTCGTGTCTCCGCTCCTCCACATGCAGCTGCTGGGTGACCTTGGGCTAGTCACACTTCTTTGAAGTCTCTCAGCCTCACTCACCTCACAGAGTGTTTGTTGTGGGGGAGGAAGGAAAAGGAGAACGTTAGCCACTTTGAGAGTCCTTAGGTTAGTGATAAAGCGGGAGATGAAATCCAAACTTTTCTTCATGATGGAAAGGAGCAAGAAGGGTATGCAAGCAGCAAGGCAGTAAGGCAAAATGTGTTGAAGAGATCAAAGTAGCCGTGGATCCCAGGGGAGAAAGCTGCAACGTTTCCTAACTTGAAGCGGCTGCATATGGTGGCTAGGAGAATGAGCTCTCAGTCTGCAAGAACTTGGTTCAGATTTCATTTCCGTAATGAACTCACTGTGGAGGGTTGGTTCTACTATTAGGTAAATGTTATCAAACATTTTCATTGACTAATATTTAAGAAATGGATATTCTAATACAATGAAAATATGTTGTTTATTACATGAATCATGAGAGACAAATGGTAATTTGAACTCAAGATGCTAATTAATTTGAGGATGTACGTAATCAATTGATGTCATTCATTTGAGAATGTGTCAAATGCACCTATCTTTTTACTGATACAAACACAAAATACATCTAGAAGGGTGATGTGGAATCTTTCAGATTATGAAAGTCAACAAAGTTCTCTTTTGGAAATCAGGTTTTGCAATTCTTCTGCATTTTGTTTACTTTGATTAATAAAGGAAAATGAAAATCTGCTAATTGAGTGTTCATTGTGCAAGAAATTTTGTAGCAGCTTGTAATGGAATATCATAAATTCAAATACCTTTGCTTTGGCAGAATGATGAGGTTAAGGCATTTAGCTAAATGGCTGTGGGGAAAACCCTGCTACATAAATCCACCAAGCTACATAAACATGGTGAAAGTATCTGTAAATCTTCTGGAATATTTAGACCTCACTCCAAAAACACTTGGACAACCTGAGCATTAAGCATTCTCTGTTTGTTGTGAGTGTGCTTCCAGGCTTCTGCAAAACAACCTTCTCTCTAGGTCTTTGTATAACTTGAGAGCAGAAGGTGCTTGTCTTGTATGGTCTCTGATGGCTGGTAATTACTCCAGGCCACTGGAATTCAGGTCACAGCCCCTCTGCCTAGGTAGTTGCTGAAGGGAACAGTTTTACAGCTTCTGTTTTGTCACAAAAAGAGCTCTTGCAGTGGCTTGCCAGGAAGCTGTCTTGAGGGGCTGCTGCTGTTTGGAGGGACTGGTGCTATTTTAGGAACTAGCACTGCTTACGTGCCTGCTCCTCCTCACCCCAACCTTTACATTTGTAAATAAAGAGATATTATCAAAACAAATCTCACAAGCTTGCAGGACTCCTGCATCACGAGAATCCTGGCACTTGCAAATCCCAACTTTCCTGTCCCACACTAATATATGCGTAGGGTCCTCTCAAAGGTAAGGCATACCACCCTGGAATATGGTAGGGACCCCCACACACCCTGAAGCTTGCCGGATGGTGTCAGATGGCAGCATGGACAAGCATCACTTTTTCCTTTTTTCTGTGCTAAGGCAATGGGCAGGCACTGCTCAAAGCAGCCTTTAGCCATCTTCAGTTCCTCAGAATGCCCCTGGTCAGGCCATTGGGCCCCACCATGTTGCTCAGGCTGATGCAGTTCTGTTTCCCCTCTCCTCCTTTCTCTCTATCTGAAGGAAATTGGAAACTTTTGCTTTTGATTCTAAACAAACCACAGTTTCCCATGACATTGAAACTCTGGGACCTACAGTTTGCTTAAATTATAGATAACAAGGACAAGGCAGGATCAAACCATCCCCCAAAGAGGGGGGGAAATGCATAATGAAAAAAGAAATAAAAGAGTGTTAATTCATATGTATAGGTACAGATTTAAAAATAATTACTGTAATTTAAATAGAAATACAGTACACACAAATACCCCATAGTGAAATGAGCCAGCCTTTCAGCTTTCAGTAAGAACTTACTGTGTAAGGCCAGCCCATCTCTACAATACACTAACTTACAATAATTATATGATTCTATATAGATGTTGCTGCATAAAATTCCATGCACAAATGATAATCCAGCTGTAGGGCACAAGTGAGCTGCAGCCTTTATCAGATAACTTTCCAACATAGCAGATGTTGATTTCTTCTGCTCAGTCTTAAAAACTTTCCCTCTGTTTAGAATGTGGAAGCTACTACCCTTTCTTTAGCGCTCAGGCAGGGGCAGAGGAAGAGGTGCGATGGGTGCGGGCCACCCTGGGTGTCACCACTGAGGGGGTGACAAATTGCCGGGCTGCACTTACTGTGGGGCCTGCAGCGCACCCAAGCCACGTGTCTCTCCTGAGGGAGACGCAGTGGCTTGGGCGCACGCAGGCTCTGCGCTGCCCAAACAGTCCTCCCACTGCCTCTCCCCCAGCTGTAGGGCAGTTGAGTGGGAGGAGGTAGGCAGACTCCGGAGGCCCCCGGTTCGCCCTGCTCCTATGGGGCGGCTCACCCCGTCCCTATGGGCGCGCCACCCCAGGCACCCGAGCGACTTCCTCCGCCGCTGCACTCAGGTAGTTGCATTGTCTTATCAAATGAACTTTTTAAAGTATCAGTAGCAAAGAAGTGCATAAGAAGTGGAAAAGTTCAAACTGTGGAGGTAAAAGGGAGGAAGGCTGCTTTTTTATCTTTTATTTATCTGGGCTGATGCTGCCTCTGCAAATGCCAGCAAAAAACAGATAGTGCTGTGTCCTTGTTTTCCTGATGACCTGCGTAATTTGCAGATTTCTTTGTATGGAGAGATGAGTGTAGGCAACATCTCTTTCTACTTCCTGGAGTGTATGAAGCAATGTTGCCTACCTATAATCAAGGTTTCTTTCATCCACCTTTATAACCGAAAATATTACAGTTTGAACCAATGGGTTCAAATTACATTAAAGGAGATTCCACATTAGGAAATTCCACATTAGGAAGAACTTTCTGACACTAAGAACTGTTCTACAGTGAAATGGACTATAGCTCAGAAGGTGATGGAAGTTCTTAAACAGAAGTTGGATGGGCCTCTGCCAGGGATTCTTTAATTCTGATCCCTGCATTGCATGGGGTTGTGCTAGATAACCCTTTGGGTACCTTACAATTCTTTGATTCTATAGAGATGAACACGTGTGATGTCTGCTGGCAGGCATTCTGAGGCCCAAGTGCTCTAAGAATGCAGTAGCATAAAAATGTACCTATTCTTTCCCTGTTCCTAGTTTTAACAAAATATGTGATCTGTGCTCGGCTGATTGGCTGAGCCCAACAGCTTCAGGAACTGATTCTTTTGTTTCAATTTACAGGTTCTCTTTTTAGCTAGCTATATATCCTAGGTAGAAGTAAGACAGAGTTTGATGTCTCACATTCAGACTCAATATATTCTACAAAAAAAATTGTGTGAAAAAGAGAGGGTGTTAATAGTTTTAGGAGTAGGATTCTTGGTCTCTCAGTAAAAAAACGAAAAGAAATAATGTTAGAATGTTAGAATAAGTGATATAATTTGTTTTATCCATGCTAAGAAGTGTGCTTTGCTTTGTTTCTCTCTTATTCACAGGAAGAAGGTATTGTGAAGGAGATAGACATCAGTCATCATGTAAAAGAAGGTTTTGAAAAGGCAGACCCATCACAGTTTGAGCTGCTGAAAGTGTTGGGGCAAGGCTCCTATGGAAAGGTAAGATTTTACAATGTGCAATATGCTAAGGTGCAATCTGGAATCAGCACTAAATTCAAGAAACAACTTGATCCTTAGCTCATACTCTCTTAAGATCTGCTTTGGAGATTCCAAGGGAGAAACAGTCAATGAGGTTTGAGTAACTTTCCCCCTCTTTTTAGTCTCTTCCAAAGCAGTAAGATGCACTGGAAGGAGATACACTCATCTTCCCTCCTTCTTACTTAGCACATTTAACTTAAATTTGTAAGTACTATGAGTCCTCAACACTTCATCAGGTCACTTTGGGCAAAACAGATACTACAGTTGATGCATGGCTGCCATCAAAGCATTAGCACTATGTCATCGCCTCTTCCACTCTTCCTTGGTAATGTTTAGTAAGGCAAAATGGATAAGGGGGTGTCATTGCACTGTCTTGTACAAGCGGTAACCAACTGCGTGGGATAGGGAAATTTACAGCACACTGATGTTGACATGTCACCATGTATTTTATGTTCTGCTCCCTAGCCCCACTCTGAAAACTGTCCAAAGCACTGATTGAGCCTGTCAGTCTAGGTCTGCTCTGTGCCATGATACAGCAGGGCTGCCTGACCATGGAAACTGAATGGCTCCTTCCACCCATGCCATGTGGGAGGCACAGTGTGGTCTTGCAGTGGAAAGGGAGACAAGCCGGGTCTTGGGTGTGATCCTGCCTGTGTATAATCTGTTCTGATTCCTGCCCCGCTTCCATCCTCATTTGCCTTTTCAAATCCAATCCCTCTTTAAAGATAAGTAATATGTTTACTCTGCAGCCACAACCGTATGATCTCCAATACAATGGCTAATGTTCCTGCCCCTGGCCAAACCAGTGCAGTGTGTGTGTGTGTTAAAATGGCTCCACAAAAGAGTTCCGCTTCTTTCTTTCTTTTTAGTTGATGGAGTTATAGGAAATTATTTTGCAGATCATGGTTCCCTTTAAAAGTAATAAGGCATAGTGGTGTTTTGAAAGAGAACACATTGCCATTTGTTGTATTTTTCTGCAGTTTTATAATTATTTTCATGTTCTCTTAGCACACAGTGTTCCCTGTCTGACTCATCTGTTTTGAGGGGAATACAATAAAATCTGATAATACACTCTATATCAGGGAACAGCTAACAAATGACTAGTAACCAACACTGAAGGCCTTTTCCACATTCTGTAGCAACCTAGCTCTCTTCAGATGTTGTTGCACTACAGCACCCAGCAGCCTCACCGACAAGGCCAATGGTCTGGAATAATGGGAGTTGTGCTTGAACACCTGAAGGGCACCAGGTTGGGAATGGTTTTTATGAAGTGAGGGTACACATTTACTGTACTTGAAATTTAATCAGTATTACTTTCCAGTGCATGAATGCTGCAAAAACAATTCATGTAAACATGTTTCAGATTTTTGTTTTAAGTTGGTTAACTTTGCTGTGTTAAATGTGCATTCTGTAGTTGACCTCCTTTGTAATGCTTTCTTTTGAAATCTTTAAGATAATATTTTAGTTTCCTGTTAATTATGCTGCTTGGAATGTATACTTTATATTTGACTTTCTTTAGTAATGTTTTATTCTGGATTATTTTTTTGATGCTTTAATATAGGTTATTGCTTTGGAGGGTATTTTTCTTAAAAACATAAAGGGGCGTAGAAATGAAATGAACAACAACAATAATAAACATACATTAATTTATTGCTTTTTGTGCTTTTTCACTTCAGGTGTTTTTAGTGAGGAAAGTTAAAGGATCTGATGCTGGGCAACTGTATGCAATGAAGGTACTTAAGAAAGCAACTCTGAAAGGTAGGAAGTTTAATTGGACTCCAAATGTATGTACAATTCAGCCTGCTGTTAATAGGCAAAATACTTTGTTGTATTTGAAGTTGCTGTATGTATTCCTCTGGCATAAAACAACACATCATTCTAGATACTACATTATGGGTTTGGATCTTTCATTTCTCTGAATCAAGATAGGTAGCTGTGGATAAAGCAGGCTAGCCATATAGCTTTCTGCTTATCATGTATGACAAAGGAAGGTGGAAATTCAAACATTTAGCAGGTGTTTTGAAACCTTCCTTCTATCTCCCTTTATAATCTCCGCTTATAGTATTTACGTTTATTTTAGGCTTACTGATGAACAAATGGCACTGATTCCTGGTTTGTTATTTGGTGTATTGCCTCCTTCCTGTGGAGAGGCGGTGGGCTGTTTCTTTCTCATAGTTCCCTTGTTGTGCACAGGCTAATTAACTTTACCCCATGCCTATGCCATCCCTGAGTGTGACAGCATTGATTACGCCTCAGGTCTACATCTTTTAATTCAGTCTTGAAGGGCATGATGACACCCACAATGAAGTTGCAGGTGAAAAGAAGTTCCCCTTTCTCTCCCTGAAAATATGAACCGATGGAAGCCTCTGATGTGGTATCATCACATCACGCTGCTCCACGTTCTTGGCTGCTGCTGAGTGGCAGGGCGAGGAAGCAATGTAACGATGATGATGCATGTCACATGATTCCATTACTGTGAACACATTGCACCAGTCCTTTCTTACCTGCAGTGGTCTTTGGTTTGCTCCTGGGCCCAATTTAATGCACTCTTTTTGACCTACAAAGCCCTACATGGCTTGAGATCTTGAGATGTTAGGTAAATCATCACTTTGTTAACAATTGCCTATACCCTAGAGACACCTATAATTAAGATGTCATCATTTTTTATTGTGTTTTATGGAGTCCATGATTTTTGTCAGCCGCTTTGAGTTTCTTTTATAAGTGGGGTATTTCTGAAAAGTAAGTAAGTAAGTAAATAGGTTTCAACACTAGTCAGTATGATTTAGAAAGCTTTGCACCCAACATCATGTCAGGTAAAACTCTCTGTTCTCACCATTACACACAAACAGATATACAAAGCTTTCTTGCTTCTGTGCAATTGCATATCTGGGACTTTTAAAGAATATTGCCAATCAGCCGATACCTGCTTCCATTTATTTTCAGCTGGGAGTAAGAATGAATAGAAAACCACCCCTCTCTTAGTTTTAATTAAACCTAGGAATATTCGCCAAGCATCCTTTTTTCACTTTATTTATATCAGTAATTAAAAAGCACCACACTAATATAAGGACTACTTTGCATCTTTATATAAGCAGATGCAAAAGATAATAACTATTCATTGCCTTCCCCCTAAAACAGGGGTAGCATGCATGAATGTTGTTGGACTACAACTCCCATCACCCCCGACCATTGACCATGCTGCCTGAGGCTGATGGGAGTTGGAGTCCACCAATATCTGGAAGGCACCACATTGGCTTCCCAGGCCCTAAAAGAACACATAAATTGGTCAACAAATGTCAGTATTGTCTGCACCAGCCATAAATTGTAGCTGAGGTATTTTGGGGTACCAAACTGCAGGCCCAGCTATAGAAAAATAATGGCTTCTTCTTTTCTCTGACAAAAGGAAGGAGCATCTCTGACTTGCCAGTTTGTTGCCTCCACTGCCTGAAGATATACTTGCATTTTGTATTCACAATGGCCAAACAGCATAACCAAAGAAAGCCACATACTGACTATGATGGGGTGGGGGAAAATTGAATCATGAGGTGGGGGGAAGAGTGGCACTCTGTCTGCTGTAGATACGGTAACTCAGTCTGAGTAACAAAGATAATACTATTTGCCCTTACAGAAAATAAAATGTTGTTCAGTTTCCCATTTTATTCTTGTTAGTAGCTGGGGTTCAGGGCGAGGTCACTGAGTCTGTTTTATCTTTTCTCACCACAGAGCATGTGAACCAAGAAATAATTTCCTACTTGCTAAATATGTGTGAATCATTTTCCCCACCATTACAATAAGGCTTATTTATAGCACTAGAGAGATGAGTTTAGTATGCAAGTGTGTGGTAGTATATTTCTGTTGAATGCATAAATGTAAATAAATGTTTCAACAGCAGAAGCCATTTTTGGAATTGGTTATATCTGGTAAAACTGTGGTCCTAATAACATGTGATGTTATGGTCACCATGTTGAACCTAAAAATCTATTTTTTTGTGGTGTAGTTCAGCACGTGGATCAGGTGCCTTTGACCACATCACAACAGCCTTGGTCTCCTGACCAAGGATAATAACATCTACCAAAACCCATTTCCTAGTGGTGATGGGAGATCCAGAATGTATCTTAAAGTCCTGGTGGGTTCAGGAGTTTGTAGGCAAATGGACAGCAGGGGAGAGCACATGGTGGGAGTCTAGAATGGTAGATAAGGTATCAGGATTCTGTACTGTGGAGCTAGAAGCGATTGGAAGGTCAGCAAGCATATAGCTCAGATGTTGCTGCCATACTGATAAGATGTCTGAATGGAGTCTGAAATATTGCTGAAAGGTCCTGTCCCCACCTTTCTCAATAGGATGATTATAACATTGTATCCAGGGCCGGATTTAGGTTTGATGAGGCCCTTTATAAGTAAGTAAAATATTTAATATAATTATCATATTTATATATAGTATTATAGTAGCAAGTGGGGGTAATAGGGAACTGTACTAGTAAACAATAATATAGGCCTACTAAATAATAAAGATGAAAATTTTTCTAAAGTAATTTTATAATGGGATCAAAACAAATAAATTATGTATTACATGAAATCAATCAGTAGGCATAAGACTCATACCCTTAGTCTATGCTGCCCGATCTTGTAAAAAGTCTACAAGCACTCTTTAATATTAGATAACAGGTACAACAGCTTGACCTACATTCAACTGTGCTGCATTGCAGTCTGCAGCTGCATGCTACATGTTGCCATGCGACCAGTCCATGCAGAATGTAGGCACCCTATATATAGAAATGAGCAAACCAGTGATATTTTAGGGAGCAGGCTAGCAGGCGGGGCCCATGACTTACATCACAGGAGCCGATACAACACAAAATACTGTTGCTATATGTAGGTTTTATTTTATTTGTTTTTTTATCTTAGATTTTGGAAATGTACATCCAATTTTTTTCCTTAAATTTTTTTTGGGGCCCCCAAGAGAGTGGGCCCTAAGCTTATAGCTTATACGTAAATCTGGCACTGATCGTATCTGTGGGGTGGGGCCTTATCAGACCAAGGGTCACATTCCTTAATAGCAGCCATCCAGGGGCCACATGCCAGTGGTGGGTAGGGCAGCAAGTGGACTCTTATTTTGTACTGTAGCCTGCGCACAGTCTTATATGCCAGATTGGAAGGCCTGAAAGGCATTTGCTACCTCTCCTTCCTCTGCCCCGGGGTGAGGTTCCTCACCCTTGCACTACTGGGATTCCTTCAGAAAGGATTTTTTATCCTTCAGAAATTTTAATATGACCCTCATTTCAAGGTTCAATGTGTTTTTGCCTGGAATGCTGTTCTTAGAAGTGCATTTCAAATTTCATACCCAACTTGGTTTTGGCGTTAGCAATTACTTCAAAAAGCCAAAGTAGGCTTTAAGGGGAGGCCGCCTGAACACTTATACCCCGCCTCACACACTGAGATCCTCTACAGGAGCGTCTTTGGTTATCCCCCAAGTTTGTGAGGCTCAGTACAAATCCATTCCTTGTGCCATCAGCCCAGCCTTGTGAAATGCTCTTCCAACAGAGTTTCAGCAGGCGCCCTCAGGGTTAACTTTTATTTTTATTTTTTATTTTTTTTAATAAAATTTTTATTTGGTTTTCTGGTTTTATAAAGACAAAACATACACAAAGAAAAGAAAAAGACAAAAACATGTATAAAATCAACCAATCCCCGTTTCATAAACTTGTTCCCTGACTTCCCCCCACCTCCCCTCGTGCATCCCAGTTTCAAGATTATATCAGCAAGTTGGTATTTCTCCTCTTAACAATGTTATTCATCACCTTATTTTATAATAAAAATTAATTTTCCTAAGTTGGACTTAAGTTCTCTTCCATCGATTTTCATTTTATCTTAATTAAGAGTCATATTAACCAAACCTAAAAGTCTTAAGAGTTTTTAAGAGTCTCTTCTTCCCTCCCTCCCATCCCCGGTTTCTGTCCCTTCCCAATAAAAATCCAAATTCGAATTTCTCAGCCTGGGTTCCTCACGTCCGAGGCTTTCAAATCCCTTTCAGTCCCTCTCCGCCTGTCCCGTTGGTAGTCCTTTATGTCAGTCATCAAGTCTGGGAAAAGTTCTTTCACCATCAAAGTGTTTCCTCTTCCCACAAGGGGGTTCAAAAGTAACTGCTGAAGAATTTCCACAAAGCCTATCTCTTCAAGATCAAAGTCCAAACGGAGGCCCCAAGCATATTTCTTTATTTTAAATTTCTGTGTTCCATTTTGTCCCGGGACCTCCTTCTTCTTCTTCTGTATCTTTCGCAGACTTGTAGTAGATATGTTCCCAGCGTTTCCTTGCTTATGTTCCGCAGATGTCAACTTTTGGTTGTTACTTCCCAGGATTACTTCTTCTTTTTCTTGTTGTTTAGTCTCTTCCAACTCTGTAGGTATTGTTTCCCATTCAGCTGTGAATTCTTTCTCGTTGAGGTCCTCAATACAAAGAGCAGAGTTGCCTGTTCCCAAGGTCATAGTCTCAAGCTGTTTATTCATGGCCAAGCTCTGCTCTTGTAAAGTTCCCACCAATTGAAACATCCTTTCAATTTCCACCAGTAACTTTCCTTCCACAGCCATTGTATCCATTGTAGTTTCACAGAATTCCCCCTAGGGGGAATCTGGTTACTTATTAGCCTTTTCACCAACAATCCTTTCACTGATTATTATTACTTTGTTTCCAACGATTTTAGCTCAATTGTAACTCGTCTTAGTCAAGAGATGACAATTTTTGCACTTTAAACCGACCGTTTG